TTTAAGTCTCTGGACACCCATGAGTAACTTTCTATTTACCTAACTATCTCATGTTTCTGGCTCATATTTAGTGAATTTAGTAAAACACCTAATTCTCCTTTCTGACAGATAAATTAAATTTCATAGTCAGAGAAAGCAAAAGTATTTGAGCAGTAGAATGGGACCTGCTATTTTTAAAATCTAGACTCAAATCCACTTGAATATACCTCAAAACCAATTCTTGCACATTCCACTGCAATACCACTCTAGACAACAGGTGGGTTATATTTATGTATATGTATAGATGTCTTAATATTCTTGACAGAAAATTATTTGACTTTACTATTTATTAGCCCACTGCTCATTTTGAAGATAGTATTTTCTGTGTGAGCGCAGTTAGCATAACTGCTTTTGAAAATCCTACTGTGAATATTAGTTTTGTTATTTCAGAGAATACAAATTTTAAATACAAGCTCCTTTGATTCTCTGATGTTAGTTAAGTTTGGACATCCAAAGAATGGCAACAAAGCTGGTGAAGGGTAGAACATATGAGGAGTGGTTGAGGGAGCTGAAGTTCTTTAGTCTTGAGGAAAGGAAGTTCAAGGGTGACCTTATCACTCTCTACAAGTGCCCAAAAGGAGGATCAGATCAGCCTCTTCTCCCAAGTAACAAGTAGTAGAAGAAAAGTAAATTGTTGGGAAGGTAGAATTAGAAAGAAATTATAAATATGACTCTGTAGCCAGAAAGGCTAAGGAAGAAATACAAATGATAGCACGGTTTAAATAATTCAAAGAAACCAGGCTGGTATGCCAGAACACATTCTTTCCTGCAATAAAACCAAGCTGAGACCCCTCATCCCAGCCTTATAAGGAAAGGTCTGAAGGACCCTGAGATAACTAAAAATATGCAAAAATAGCAATTTTACTGTATTAGTATCCTTAGAAAGATTGGTCAGTGAAAGAATAGAATATTCAAATGTATAAGTTATATAAGTAATTGCAAAAGAGAATTCTCTCTCTTGGTTCTCTTGGCTCTCTTAGCTCTCTTGGTCTCTCTTGTCTCTCTTGGTTTTCTAAGCTCTCTTAGTTCCCTTGGTTCTCTTGGTCTCTCTTGCTACTCTCTCTTAGCCCTCTTGCTTCACTCTTTCTACACTCTTATTGTTCTTTTTCCCCGGCTCTCTCACTTCTGTCTGTTACTCTCTTTCTTAGCAATCTTAAGTCTTGAGCTCATGTATTCATAGTACTCATAGTATTCATAGTATTCAGTATTCATATTTTATCCCCTTTTGTATTGTTCACTCTGAGCCCACTTTGAGCTCTATCTGCTGGCTCATAGCAGGCTCCCTCTCTCTATCCTACACCCTGAAATAAACTTCTAACACCTAACTCGGTTATAGAGGTCCTTGCTGTGTCTCAGACCATCCCCAGAAAGCGTCTCCTACAGTAAATTGTCTCAAGTTGCTCCATGGGAGGTTCAGGTTGGAAAAATTTATTCACAGAAAGAGTGGTTTAACACTGGAATGGTCTGCATATGGAATTGGTTTAGTGGCCATCTCTGGAGGTATTTAAAAGATGGGTAGATGTGGCACTTAAGGATGTTGGTTTAGTGGTGGACTTGGAAAACTGGTTTAACAGCTAGACTCAATGACCTTACAGGTTTTTCCAAATACCCTAAAATTCTATGTTTTTATAATACACATCTGGTTATCTTTTAATTCAAGTGATAAATCTAAACTACCTAAAATCAATTTTCTTTGCTTTTCTGCATGCTTTGTCTGCCTCCTGAAGGACAGAGTACAACATTTCTAGATCTACCTAGTATCAGTTCATCACTTAAAATTGTTTTCATCACACTGGCTTATTGCAAAAATCTGACTAGCTTAATGGAATGAATTGTAATGAGCTTGCCTCAATGCAGACATGCCTGTGGACAACATTTCTGCATTTATATTTTTCATTAAATCATAAAGAAATGTGGGGTTTGTTTAGCCATCTGATAAATTTTCTTTAATTTAAATTGTACAAGCTATTTTGCATTAAAATCATAAAGGATAGGAAAAAATAATGAAGACATCCAAAAGCTCTGTTAACATATGCACACTACCCTTCACCTCATCTAATGGTCACAGTTTGATTATTATATATGCAAATAGCATTCAATCAGTGCATAATGAGGTATTTTTTGTGATCAGTTACTTCTTTGTCATAGTTCATTGTTTTGATCTGTTGCACAGTGTCGTGCACAATGAATTAAGCTTCACTTCAAGAAAAGTCTGTGTAGGCCAAATTTCCAAATACCAAAGTGTTGCCCTTTCTCTACAGACACATTTTTCAGCTAATAAAACACAGTCACATTAAAAGAAGGAAAGTTATAGAACCAAAATGAAGGAAGAAAATTCCTCTTCTTTCCTAACTATCATAGATTTTTCTTCAATAGAGAAAATTGATTAGAGGCTAAGATATATTGGTTTTGCAGGGTCATCAAAACAATTGGAAGGTTTACCTTCAGAGCCTGCCAGAGCCCTTTTTTATACTCTATAATCTCTCCTTCATTGGGCCATGAATAAAAAGGTTCCTTACTTACAAGCTCTCAGGTTAGAAGCTCCCAACTTTCTCCCATATGATGCTTAACAAGTTTGGGAAGAATGTTTGAAGCATCTGCACAGGTACTTCATCACTGAGTTTCAAGTTCTTATTTATTTTGTTCTTTGTTGTATAAAATACTTCCAAACAGGAGAAGAACTGGTCCTCAGGTGCACCAAGCCTTACCATTTATGACAGTGGTCTTGTTGTAATTTCCTTTTCCAGAGTACCTTCTCTTATCTCTATTTCTTTTCTAGTCCAATCTTTGCCCATATTTTTGGAAGGGGATTTTGTTTTAAGTTTGCACAGCACTTGAAAAAATATTTTGCAGCTATGACTGAATGAGATTCATCTAAACAAGCACTGGGGGTATCTGCAACCAATGAAGCCACTTGGGCTACATTTGCATTTACTACAAATAAAATACCTTGGGGTTTATAAGCCGAGAATGTATGTTTTGTAATCAATGAAAGTTGCAATGAACTATTATGCAGTGCAAACACTCACTTGAAACAAACTGAGTTTCAGGGTCAACCAGTGCAGTTGATCTACCACAGGAGGTCCCTCTTATGCTTGGCTTTTTTATCCTAGATTTCTATAGGTGCTTCTACCCTTTACTACCCACCAAATTCAACTCTGTGACTGAATTCTAATGACTGCCTAGGATGCCTTGTTTCATAATGTACAGGATGAGTCAGAGCACCTAAAGTGACATGTTGCCCTGGATTTACCTTGCAATGTCTTTTTTCTGTATTCCACCTACTTCTTCTAAGTAGTAACAATATTTCAGCAAAGCCTTGATTTTAAGCTGCTGTCTACCATGGCAACATTTTAGTTATCTTAGAAATTCTCTGTTCCAGACTATTTTCATGTAATTAAAGTAAAAGAATAAAATTACCTTAACCTCTAAGCTTTTCCTGTATAAGACTGGACTTCTTACCTAAGGGTCTTACACTTACAGTGGGATTGAGTGTAAGATACATTAAGAAAGCTCAGACAAGTTTACTGTCTGGAGGAACCATTTCTGACAATCACTAGTGGGTGAAGGAAGAGAATCCACTTCTCCTAACTTCAGAGACTAAAATGAGTTAGGACTGTGGATGCTTTCATGTCTTTCAGAATTCATCAAGAGATTGTTTATCCAGGAAATAGGAAATTCCCTAGGATTGCTGGGATCTTCATTGCTGATGAGACCTCTAAAAGTGCATAACATCTTCCACTGACAAAGAAATGAAGCCCTAAATTAGGCAACTCTGTTCAGCACCTGAACCGGGGCAGCATAAATTTGGTCAAGGATGCAATGTTCATAAATACTTTAAAATTATTTAATCTTTAATTCAGCAAATTCAGACCTGACATATGGAGTTGCAAAGGAAGTCTTAAAAGTTCCCTTTAGAAAGTACACTTATTTCTGGAATGTTAAGTACCATGCCTTTCAGAAGGCTCCCCCTTCATTATTGCTCCCTGATTGCGTTAATTTATAATTATAATAATGCAATTTTTCTATTAACAGCTCTTTTGATAATAACATCCGTACCAGCTGCTGCTTTATCTTCTTCCTGTTTTGTGGAGCTTTCCTTTGTGCTCTAGCATCTTCTATAGATTGCAGATACATTCTTCTGTAGTCTGAATATTAAGTATAAAAGCCTTAAAAACTATTCTCACTGAAATTAACACCAATTCCAGAAACAATTCTTTCCAGTTCAGTCAAACTGATACTTCTTCAACATATTATGTTTCCCTTTTAAGGCTCTTTGCAAGATTCTCTCCTTGTTACTCAGCATCAGAGTAAGGCTGATACCTTCCACAGACAAAATGACCTGTCAGGGTGTCTTTCTCCTGTGAAGTTTACTTGCTCCTGGAATGCTTTTCTTTCAATTTTGACTGAACCAAACCTAGGCTGCATTAATGATTTCTGCCTCAAAATGAAACAAGTGAGATCTTCCAGACAGAAGCAACTTAGTCCCTGGGTTTTTTGGTTTGTTTTTTTTCCCTTTTCTCATAATTCCCACTGGGAAAGGGGGGAAGAGCTTACTTACAAGGTATCCAAATATAAACTATAGGCTGATTTTCAGAGTAAATATTTTACCATTATGAGGTAGCTGCCTCTGCTATTCAGAAAGCTAGGAGTCCTTATTTTACATCCTGTCATGCCAGTAACTTTTAAGTGATTTTTTTCATCATCAAATACACATGCTTCATCACTTGTCCCCCCTCTAATGTTATTTTTCTGGGCTTCCTGACTGCTAGTGTAATGCAAATAAAGTTATGCGACCAGATTGTAAGTGCCTCTATTTCAATACAGGCCATTCAGAAATGTTGTACTTTATTCCAAATGCCATTGTGGAGACATAAACTCCTCATGCAATCAAACATTCAAGAGGTGGCTTCATCCTCTGGAGGAGTATGGAGCTGTTGTTTTGTTTCTCATTAGCAGTAGACAAATTACATTTATTTTAGAAGCTGGATTTCTGCCATTCCATTACTCTACATCTCTCTCTGGATCTGGCTCCAGAAATCTTTGTAAGGTCCAAGTACCTGCTGTTGTGTTTATAGACACTAACAGAATTTGGAGTATACACAGTGATAAACACCAGGTGAAAATTAAACCAAATCTCATGTCCTGAGGGATTCTTCATTATAAAATGTAATATCTTTCTAGCTAAATTAACCAGATAAAGCACATTCCTTCAGCTCAATTTTATTTCAGAGAGGGATTGTGAAAAGATTGGTTTGCTAGCATGGGGATATCAAACCAGCTTGGAATTGTAATGAACAAAAAATAAAACAGCCTAGCTGAGAAAAGTCAGTGGACTGCAGAGCTGGGGCTTTAGATGAACAGTACATGAATTTGGAAAGTTAGCAGTCTTCTCTGCTTGCTGGAATCAGATTAGAAAGTTGTTACTGCAGCTTGCATTGCCAGCTACTGGCACGTTGCACCCTGGAAAGCACGTCTTCCCATTTCATAGAGCCTGCCGTGAGAATTCCCTGTTCCTTCGGTACTATTAAGCAATGTTCTGTTGCTCTTGGTCATGGCAAAGTGATTTCTAGGAGAAAAGAAAGGAAAATCTATGATTATATATGTCCACTGTGTAATTTCAGAGTATTTTTCCATACCTAAATATAATAGCTAAAGACCAAGTGCTAAGAAATGTGTGGTGCCATTGAAACCCTAAAAACATGATGTGAGCTCATTTTTCCCAATCTTTTTTTTTTCTTTCCTAAATCTCTCAATGGAGATTTTCATGAAGGCAGAACCATGGACATCTAAATTGAGTGTTCATTTGGGTCTTTCATTTTGAAATTACTGCCTTGTCTTGCCTTTGTTTTGCTATTTGAGGTTATTGTATATTGCATTAAAAAATAACTTTTCAGAGTCCCTCTCAACACAAAAAAACCTTCAGTTCTGTTGACATGAGATATTTCAAAACAGAAGGAAAAAAGTCCTGATTTTTTTTGGTGGTTTTTTGGTGTTTTTTTTCTCATGGAGAACTTTTATATATGTTCCAGTTCGGAAGAAAGCCAAGTATCAAAATATTAAAATTTTTTGGAAAGTCCAACAGGCATTGTCTGAAATTGCTGTGCTGCTATCAGGACTATGTTCCCTCAGCCAGCACAGGCTCAGCACCTAAGACTAGTCTCTGGGTCTAAGACATCTGCCATTAGCTATGCCATTGATTTCCTTGGTAAGTGAGACTAGACATTTGCTCTCTCTCTCTGTTTCACTATCCTTATCTATAGAAAGGGAAAAAATCATACTGACCTTCTTTGTTAAGTGGTTTGAAATGTGTTGAGGAGAAGGGCACGGCATTCATCTGCTCTCAGCCTCTCCAGAGATTTTGCAGCACAAATGGAATGCATTCAAAGGGCCTCAGTCAGGAGCAAGGTTTGCCAAAGCAGAGAAAGCTGTCTGGAAAACAAACTGAAGGGAATAATAAGAGCATATCAAAAAAGAAGTAGATGATCCCAAGCAGAAAATACTTCAAGATGTCCACAGATATTTTAAAAGTTTTATAGAGGTTTTTCAAAGGCCTCCTAGGAAATCCACTTACATTTAGAAAGGTGAATATCATAAGAATAGCAAAACAGAAAAGCCAAGTATCTGAAAGACCTATATGATGATAATAAGACTGTTACAGCCTGGAACTCTTTATCTGGAGATCAGCGTTAACAGATTTGACCCAAACAACACCTGGTCCTTTTTTTTGCTGAATAGAAGCTGCTAGTCTCTTCTAAATTTGCATTTCATACAGCTGTGCTAGCTGAGGGGCTGTACTTTTTATACTTTTTATAATTGTCCTGCATGCTAAAGGTTTCAAATTGTTCTGCATGCTACAGGTTTCTCCTTGCCCCGGTGAGAGCACTAACATGTATCTGAAAATTCCTAATGATAAAAGAAATATAAATAATAACAATAGTATTGTAGCAGTAATAAGACCTTAAGCCCAGTGAGAGACAAATTAAATATTAAGAATGTAGTATTATTTTCAGAAAATAAATAAAAAAAAGTTCTCCACAGCAGATATACTCCCTATACCTCTTTTTATCTATAAATAGATATGCATTAAGTATCTCTTTCTGTAAAAAAAGTAACTACCCTGGCACCCTTAAGGAATAAAGAGGGTTTATTGCTGGTTCTTGTAATACTAGAACTAGGAAGGTCCCAGCAAAATTGTTAGAAAATACACTAAAACCAAATCAGAACTCCCTTCCTCACTTATCCTTCCTCACTTATCAATCACGAAATTAAATGCGAAACTCATTGCCACAGGATGCTATGGAGATAAGAGGTAATAAAGAGGCTTTAAAAAGTACAGGGATCTTCCTGAAGGATGAGTACAGCAGGAACAATTAAATAAGATGGTCCAGAAGTAGACTTCAGCTCAGAGAGACAGCAAATCTCCAAAAATTTCATTATCCATTTTGTACTTTTTTAATAATCTGTTAATGTCTGATCAATATTAGGTTATTTGCATGTTGAATCTGATCCAGTACTTGAGCTGTCTCAAACTTAAAGTGAATATAGGTTTGGTTTATTTTTTTATTTTAGACCTCATGAAGCAGTATGATCAACAATGAAAATCAGACTTGAAAAAGACCCAGGAGTTGTTCACGGTAGACACTGGCACAGTATGTTATGTTGTGCAGTATCTTTAAATAGCTTCTTATTTTTATAGTCACAGTAAGGTGCATTATGTGTCACCTCTGATATTTCATGAACCCAGAATTCCAGGAAATTAAAGTAAAAAGGTAGACCTTAAAAATTTATCTTTAAAGACAGTTCAGGCAATAAATCTTTTCTATTAAGGAAATCAACTTTTCTTAGCTTTTAAGTTCACTAAAAATATATTCACAATATTATGCCACATAACATGTTGTCTTAAATAGTGACATATCCTCACATAAGGAGAGAGAGCTGATATTTCATCTTCAGGAAAAGAAAAAGAGTAAACTCTTGAGTGGGGACAATTGGTTTTGTCTGTAGGTTAGGGAAACATGGACGAGTTCTTCAAGTGTGCAACCTCTGTGGATAAGCAACATTATGGATTTTTTTTTTATTTTTTTGGGGGGCAGGGGGTTGCTTATGTACTATTTTATGGTGCTCCTGTTTGACAGAAACTCTGCTTAAATTTCACTACTCTCTTGACTGTCTTTTTTTTCCTTCCTTTCACATCTTTCTTACACCACCTGTGGGCCTTAGGGGAGGTTGAGTGATAGTAATGTCCCTTCATTTAAAGCCAGGGCTCATGAACCTAACTTACTCAAGTCTTTGCATCAACTGCAAGGTGACCCAGGTGCTAATGTCATCCAGGACCCAGCCATCTGCTCCTGGGTGTGTGTCAGTCATTGTACACATGGCTGTACTGCACATTTAAATAGGTTTCCTTGCTCTTTTTTGTCTTTGAGCAAACTGACAGTGTTTTCATGCAACTACAGGCATATTGATAACAATCTAGCCCTGGTTTTGAAGACTATTGGGGTTTGAATATTTTAACCCCATGGAGGTGTAAAAAGTACAGGGAAGAGCTTTTGGTTGGTTGGGTTGGTTTTCTGCCTGCTCCTTTAGGAGGAGGTGCCTTAGCCCTCTTCAGGCAGAGGGAATTTCCCACCAATATATGTCAGACTTTAGTGTGCTGTAGGATAGGCATTAGTCCTGTAAGTCAGACTCACTCCCTCAAATTACATAGTTTTCTCATTTTCATCCTCAACCCCACTCACCTTCAGTCCTGAAGGAGACAAGACCAGTAATAAAATAAACCAACTTTAATAAGCAAGATTCACAGTCAGATTGTTACCTGCAAAACTGCAAATGTTACAATCAATAGAATGCAACCACAATCTTCAAGTAAATTTAACAGTTGACTATTTTTCCACTTGCTTAGTTTTTATTAGATTTTATTACCTTTGAATTCCTAAGTTTTTATTATGAATCCATAGTGCAACTGCAGTAGTATTCTGCTTTCAGGCTTCCACAGGTCTGAACATTCATTCTTAGCACTGGACTCAATTACATCAGATGGGCTTGTCACTTATTTTTAAGACATACGAGGTATTGAAACAAGTGAGCAGCATAAACAGTTCCTAATTTGCTGGTCAAAACATTTTGCAAGCATTGCACTTCTACTGGATGTCTTATAGTGGTTATTTTTTTAATTCTACCTACCCTACAGCTGGAGTTAAAAAAATAATATGTAGAGTATATGTAAGAAGACATTCCACTCTTTCAATGCTCAGACTATGTTCATAAAGCCTTCTACGCCTTTATCAAATTTCATGTTTCTTCAATTAAAATTACTGTTCAGCTATTTTGCTAAGCAAGTAAGGGGAGGGTACATATTATATCAGCAGAGCAGGGACAGATTTAGTAACATAACTTTGTCTATAGACTTTCTCCATCCTACACTCTTAACTCTTCATTTTAGAGCCTTTAGTGTTACAGGTGATTTATGCTAACATCATGATTGCAGAAACCCAGTTAAAAGGATGGACAGACTATCAGTAACCCATCAATTACTAAGGAATTGATTCACATCACTTGTAATTATCTAACTGTAGGGTATTTAATTGTAGCTTTCATCACCAAGTCTGACCTTTTGGTCTGCATCCTCTCCAGCTCAATTTCCAGCTTCTCAGCCAAGCTTCCAAGACAAATCCAAGCTCCCACACAGGAAACAACAAGTCATCTGAGTTCTAAGGCTGGTACTAAATCAATAAGAGCAGTAAACCAGTCCTTGAAAATGCTTTTTCTGGAAAGGGACATTTCTCCCCTGTCACTGCCTCTTTCATATAATATCAGTTTCACAGATGAACACCAGAGATGCCCACTGAGGTCAATCTTTCTGCTGTGGAAAAATGCCCAAATATAAAAAGAAAAATTATTTCATCTACTTTTTTTTTTATTTTATAAAGTGCAACTGGAAAAAAAAGAAATTTTCTTCAGCGCTTTAAAAAATGTAACTGTTTTAAAGCATGTCTAAACTTGAAGTCTGACTTAAAGACATCTCTCATGAGAAGAGCAGTCTCTGTGCTTTTTTTACCTCTTAAATTCAGCCAAAGAAACAGAAAACCACTCACAGAATTGTCCATGAATGATGAAAAACTGTGAAAACCTTGAAGGTCAGAGAGATTTGAGTGCATTTGAAAGGACTTCCATGAACTGAACTTCCACAGAATTCTCCTTGGAAAGAATGCCAGGTTAGTGGGCTGTTTTCTTTAAAAAAAACCACAGTGGAAAGTTGAACTTTTTGTTCACAGTTACAAATCAGGCGTGAGAAACTAGGAGCTGGAGAGATCTTACATTTACAAAACTAAAAGTTATCTGCAAGTATTTCCACCACTTGAACACCTCCAAACTATCCACATCATTGTAGAGCAGGTGGAGTACATTATTGCTTTAGTATAGTATGACTGCTATCAAGAAGACAAACACGCTCACTCTTTACTCAGAGATGTAAGGAAGGCGTGATTTCTGCACAGCGATGCAGGTACCTCGAAACTCCTTTCAAGGTGCTGAATTCCACTGTGGTTTTGACCATTTGTCAGTTACAGTCAGGAATATCAAGTCCTTAGAGTTTCATAGAGATCAAGGGTATTGCCTGAAGCAAAGCCATGTATTCAGTGAACTCTTAAAGAAAGCTTTCTTTGCTCAAAACTTAAAAGGGGATGAAATGCATTATTCAAGGTCATTCTGAAGGAAAAGGTTGATGCTAAAGAGCGAGACAATGACTCATGTCCATAGGACACACTCTTCTATTGGGTCACAGGTTCCCCAGTGCTATCAGGTGAGGCACCTCTGCATTACATATTGCAAAACATTCCTGTTGTGGATCCTCCTGTGATTATAAAACTGTTTTGTTATATTCACACAGTAAATCTCCTTCCATGTAGGAAAAGATTATATGTTGTTTGGTAAAGACAATTCTGTGGCTATCATTGGGGTTGTTTCATTTTTTTGCCTCACCCATCTCTACCTTCAAGCCTCCTCAATACCTCAGTGACAACAGCAAAGACAATCCTAGAACACAGAGTTATATTCAGGGACTTCAGTCTGTCCAGCTCAGCAAAGGAAGGTAGTAAGCATAATGTCTTTTAGACTCTGCATGGAGAAGTGTGGCAATAGGGACCTCTTCAGCTTAGCTGGAAGAGATGCAATACTTAATACTTAAAAGGTGTAAAGTAAACAAATTTAGTCTTAGAAATAAGGTCCAGAAAGTTGTTTCCATCGCTATTTAACTGGAGAAAAACTCTTTGAATGCTAGGGATTTTCCTAACCAAAAAGGGATGCTATTTTAAAATGCACAATAATATTTCAGACAGTCATGAATTCAAATAAAAACTACATGTGTGTTGTAAAAATTGCAAAATTTGTACAAAATATAAAATTTATACAAAATATTATGTTTGAAGAGTCTAGTTTTAAAACCTAGGAATTACTGGAAATAATAAGGATTTACATAAAGAAATAGTGGTCTAAGGAGAAATGCATCTACTTTGGGAGGCAAAAATTTCAGCAGAATATTGGAATGATGCCTTATTACAAATCCACAAGGAAGAATTTAAATCTGTCCCTAGGATTTGACTGAAGTGAGAATCCATTGCACTGTGAAAACATCTAAGATTGTGTGGGCCTGTTGCTGCCCACACTGCA